TAGAATGATTGCGTCACCAGATTTGAGCTCTCTCTTTAATGACTGTCAATGACCTTCGTGGCACTTCACATGTAAAACTTAGGTGATTTCAGTTGTTTGTATGATTCAATATATTCCCTTCTAAGAGCCTCTGATTTACCATTTCATTCCTATGATATTTAACCTAGCGATTTTTTAAAAATAACATCCAATTCTAAATAAATGTATGTATGTATTTGTATGTAAATACATGTGTAGATGTATATAGATTTTATAATTTATAACTATTTACATAGCTAACAGATACAACTAGAATCAAGCCCACATTTGAATATGTGAAATATACTTATATTCTTTAAGCAAAATAAGAAAGCATAGTTTCTTTGCCATGCATAATTTTTAATGATAATCACAAATCTGTGACAAAATGACAGAAACTGTATTGACTACTCCAAAATGTTTTATAAACCACTCTCCTCTTGCCTTTCTCTATTAAAAAGCTATAAATCTAAAATACTTAATGTTTCAGGATGCTGGAGATACGTCTGGAAACATGTGACAGGGCTCAGACCAATTATATGTTAAAAGACAATGAGTGGGACTCATGGAAAGCCTTCAATATAGCCTCAGCTGGCAGTAATCTGCCCCTTTGTCATTCTTCCATCTTCCTACCTAGAAGACTAGCCTGAAGCAGAGAATGCATTTTATGATTACAATAAGAGAACCCTGAAGGGTAAAGACTATAGGATAAAGATGTTGGAATAAGAAAATAGAACAAAGTGCTCTGATGACATCATTGAGTCAGATAGCCTGCTCTGGATGCTGAACCCATAGTTTTTAAGGTGTAAACTAAACACCACTCCTACTTTCAGTGAGATATTACGTCACGTGGGGCAGAACACATTTTTAACTAATGCAATATTCCTTATTATACAGAAATAAAATTAGTGTAAATTACCGCTTGCCTCCCCCATTACTTCCTAAGGAATAAATGATTTTCCCTTTATCAGGAAGAAACATTCCAGTCTCTGGAACCCATCCTTTACTCCCTCATTGCGTTTTCAATCTCTTTTTCTTTAGTGGTACTTAAAATTTAAACATTAAAAGCAAACAAAAATAGATAAATACTTGTGTACATAGAAAAAGCTTTCCTTAACATTTCTGTGCAATAGGGCTTTCATTATTTTTCTTTCTTCGATTAACGAGCAAACCTAATGAAGTACCAATCTCCAACCACACTTCATTTCTTATCATCCCTTAATTTGTTCATACTTTCGCACAATAAGAAAATCCCCATTGTCGAAATTGTTTTTTCAGAAGTCCTCAGAGAACAGCCTCCAAAAAGCTTGCTCAGTCTTAATCTGGAACCATCTATATTATTAACAATCCAGTTCCTTTTAGAAATCCTATCTCAGTTTTATTTTATTATGCTATACTATGATTGCTTTCCTTTTCTTCACTCTATTTCCTAGAATTAATAAATTCCTAGAAAATAGTCTCAAGTTGTCATTTCTCCCAAATCCCTACTACTTCCTCCTTCACCTTTGTGAGCCTGACTGGCATGATCCACCGCCTCAGGAACCGAGTGTGCACCAATGTCTACCACATTATGTCTTCATTAGAAAGCAAATGCATCCAATAACAAACCACTTTTCTTTCTGCCAACTATGTACTTCATTATTTTCTACTGTCCAGTGTCAATAAGTGAGGAGATTTTCTTTTTTTCCCCCTCTCTCTTTTCTACACTCATATCTAATCAGTGGCAAACTTCTGTAAATTCTAACTAAGCAGTATTTTTCTTATCAATTCTCTCTTTTTCTTACCCCTCGATTTTTACTGAGGTGAAAAAGATTACCTCGTGGATGGGACTAATTAAATATTCTCGTGAAAACAAATTGAAAGAGAAAGAAAATGAATTGCTAAATTTTTAAAATTCTAGTAAAGATGAAATGTCATTAGGATGGGCCAGTTGAATGTTAACAAACTGGACTGATAATCCAGCATCTCCTTGTGGAAATCATTATGGTCCATGTTCAAAGGTGATTTTTTTCTAAAGAACAAATTTATGTTCATTGAGAATAAACTTATTTTTGACAAGATTGCCAAATAAATCAAAATGCGAATTTAATCAACAACAAGACATGCCACTGCCACGAGCACTGAACACGCAAATGTAAATAAAGTGAACACAGGTGTGAAAAATGAGGAAAAAATTGAGAAGCATTAAAATACAGAATGAACTCTCTAAAAATATAAAGAACACAGTTATCTGAAGTAATATAAGTTATTTTATGACTGACAGGTCAGCTAGAACTGAAATTAACATAATAAAAAATATAAAAAGAAAATGTTATATCATAAGAGTTTTAATCAGCCTTGGGAACTGTATTAGAGTACTGCCTAAGTTGCTGGAGAGACCACTTCATACCCACTAGGATGGTTATGGTTGAAAAAAAAAAAGCGGATAATTACGAATATTGTTGATGATGTAAATAAAGTAGCATCCTGATATATTGATGATGATAATCGAAGTGCCATTGGAAAAATATTCTGACAGTTCCTAAAGAAGCTAAACAGAGTGACCATATGACCCAGCAATTCTACTCCTAGATATAGACCAGGAAAATGAAAGCCTATGTCACACAAAAGCCTTTTCACAAATGTTAATAGCAGCATTGTGAAAATGTTAGAAGCAACCCAAATGCCCTCCAACTGATGAGTGGAAAAATAGTGATATATCCATGCAAAGGAATATTATTCAGTTGTAACAAGGAATAAAGTGCTGATGCATATTACAATATGAATAAACCTTGAAAAACATTATGTACAATATTCAATAGTTGGGTGACCAGCACACTAGAAGCCCAGTCTCTACCATTAGGCAACGTACTCAAGAACCAACATGCACACATATCCCCTGAATCTAAAGCAAAACCAAATTATTTAACATTATTTATGTTCATTTCTTTACTGTATTGCAAAATATACTAAAATGATTTCAGCTGAGCATGATGGCTCAGGTCTGTAATCCCAGCACTTTGGAAGGCCAAGGTAGATGGATCACTTGAGTCCAGGAGTTTGAAACTAGGCTGGGCAACATGGCAAAACCCTGTCCCTAAAAAAAAAACCTGTGCATGATAGTGCATGACTATAGTCCTAGCTACCGTGGAGGTTTCAGTAAATCTATAAAAACAGAAGTAGATTGTGGTTGCCTAAGGCTGCAAGAATTAGCGGGGAGAAATGCAGGGTGATGATAAAGGGTAGATAATTTCTTTATAGGGTTCTGAAATCATTTAGTGGTGACGGTTGGATAATTCTATGAATATACTTTTAACATACTGAACTGTATACTTTAAATGAGTGAATTGTATAGTATGTAAGCTTTATTTCAGTAAATCTGCTATAAAAAGTTATTATGGTGGATGATAACATTTACTGTGACACAGTTGTGAAATAATTTTGCAAGTCACTCTTATTTAAAGGAAATCCTTAGTTATATAACAATGTTTTCAACAACATTGCTTTCTTTTTTAATAAGGTAAAATTCATTAGAGTACATTGGAAAAAGTGTTATTCTAAGGATCACTAAAATCCTTTTTTAACTTACGTGAAGTATAATTCTTTTTCACCAGGCAATACTGTTTGTCAATAAATAATATTTACTAGGAGATGCACAAGGCAATTTAACTTCAGTCATGAGTAATGAGCTGTGTTATATAGTGTTTATGGAACTTATTTTATCATTCAAGTATACAACAATGTAGTTGCCTAAATAGTCATCATTATAGTTGTATGAGTCTGTACAAAGATATTAAAGATATTACAGAAAAATAATGAAGACACTTGATGAGTTCTATGAATGTTCACTTAATTGGTGTTAAAATAATTTTTAGTACTTTATTTAATTGCATCCAAATGACAAATCCTTTCTGCAAAGAAAATAAATGTCACTCCTAATCCTGTTACATCCTTCCTATTGCACAGATTAAAGGCTTGTTAGTGTACAGAATAAAAATATTCGTATTCACAACTTTGAGAAAATGGCTCCTAAGAAAATCTTACCATCCCAATTAGGCAATTAGAAGTAAGACAGTAAAATCTAATTTAGAATACCACTGAGCATTTACTACTTTTAAATTAACAACTTATCCATCTATAAATAAATCTCAAGAAAGAATTTTCCTTTTTCTGGATTTATTTGATTTGACACTTAAACAATTATCAATTAACTTACTTAATATTTAATATGAGTAATCATAACCACTACTATAAGTGGAATTTACTTAGAAAATCAACATTTTGTCTGAAATATAAGATTAGAAATATGACAAGGTATGAAATGAAGTACATTTGTCTCTTTAAGAGCAATGACTATGTTCACTAGTTATATTTTCTTTGATCATCTTAGTCAAAAACAACTTCTGTGTTTCATAAAACTCTACCAAAATAAACAGGAACAGAAAAGGTTCTAATGGTATAACTTTCTCCAACCTTGAAATGCATATAAAAAGTGATTTATATTGCATTAGCTAATTTTATACAACTACTTTGTTATTATTCTATTATAAAATTGCCATTTTGACATCAATTGTGTACATTAAGCTTTCTGGTAAAACTTACCTCAGGAACAGAAAAATTTGACTTTAAGTTCTTATACTAATAACCGTCAGAATCCTTTATTTAAATGTTTCATTTGCTGCATAAGTATTCATCTTTAAGATAAAAATCATGTCCTAATCCTAGGCCTAACAAATGATGCAGGCACTTAGAATTTATTAATAAATTGCAACAAACTATCTCAAGACTCCTGAGAAAAGACAGCAAACCACTGTCAATTTTCTATGTCTTGGATTCCTTAATATGTCTGTATTCATCTATCAGATAAAGATAACTCACACAAATTCAAATATAGGTACATATCTAGCTGTATACGTTGGCCTTCTATATTTCTAAATCACATAACTGCTCTTATTGTTTTTTATATAATTTAAAAGGTTATCTTAAAGAAAAAATATACTTACTGCCCTCTAGAGGTATGAACCAGTAGTGTAATAAGTGTAGATGTTGCTGGGCATATACAGTTTAAAGCTAACATGGCGTATTTAAACTCTTCTTCACAAACAACATGATCTGTTTGAAATAAAATAGGTAAATTAGAATAATTTACCTTTGGAGAGTAATAAAGTATAGAAAATAAAACAAAATGAATAAAATGGCAAAAGTCTCAATATAAACATACTTATTTTAGAGATGCTTTTACAAGTGCAATTTTATTCCCAGGAAATATATCTCCTAAGAGAGAGCACTGAAGTATGAGTTAAGTGATTGGCGTGGGGGTCACTCCTGTCTCAACAAATTTAGCAACCTTTGCTAAGATGCTTAACCCTGTCTTAACAAAATTGGCAACTTTTGGTAAAATGCTTAATCTTCCTATGCCTAGCAGGTGGGTTTGAGGTGTGTTCTAAAATATATCAAATACTTTATAAAGTCTCCTTTTGTTCTGATCATTCTGTGGTATAAAGCACAACAGTACTGATTTAGAAGAGTATTGATACATCAAATTCATAATAACAAAGCATAAATTTTAGAAAATAATTATTAAAAGATTTAGCAGATAATATGTGCCTAGTATAGAAGAAATAGATTTGATACTATGAAAATAACTGTAATATCAAGCAATAGAATTCGTTAAAATAAATTGAACTTGAAATTGTACTTTAACTCCAAATACCTAAAAGTCATACACTCAAAAGATGATAGGGTCCAGCCAGAAAACATAATAAATGGCTGCTGAAATTCAATCACATAAAAATAATAATGTTAGAAATGAGAGCACATGAGAAGGTGCAGGCCACATCTAAAGAGAATGACGCTACCCAGGCCAAGCATTGTTATGCAGGAATGAGGGTCCAGAGGCCAAATATTCTATTTTCTACAGAAGTTGGGTTTTTAAAAAGTGAGTAAATAGTGTTTATTTTGGAAAAAACAAAAATCCGCTTTCCCAAATAAACACGTAGAGCTGGTATTAAAAATACAGAGAAGGTTTAAAGTTCTAAGAAAATAAATATTCTCAGGCAGAAAAATAGCAGTTTTAACAAAATTAAGAAATAGAAGATCAAATTTTTCAGTGAGCCAGATCTATAAAATGAACCCATAACACCATACAATTTATGAAGAAAGATGAAAAGGTGACGAGGGAAATGGTTTAGCACATGCACTGGACAAACACTGACCTTAGTTCTGTCCTATCTTTATAATATGATTTAGTACATGAGAAAGCATACTACTTTTTTATTTTGTTTTCATTTTTTATTGTTTCTCTTTCACATTTTATGGAAGAAAATACATACTATGAATATATGTCAGGATTTACTCTAAAAATATCAAGTTTCTACTAATAATCTCTCTCTCCACACCCACTTGTCAATATATTATAATTAACTTAAAATGTTTTTAAAATACATAACCAGATTATTTATTGCTTTGCAGGAAAGAATCTGCAAGCAGATTCTAGATACAATTTTGAATGCAGAGAAGTGTACATAAAATTTGCAAAAGAACAGTGTCTTTAAACTATCATTTCAATATTATCTCAAAATAATTTTCAGTGTGCACGCCCAATGTGTGAAAACAGAGCGACAAAACTGCTAAACCCGGAATGTTATTACTGTAGAATCATATGATATCAATACATAGAGGACCCATAAATTTCAATTCAAAAATTAAAACAGATGATCTGAGAAAAAATATGTACATTTATTATGACACAGAATTTTTAAAATTTCAAACTGTAACAGAAAATTTGGAAGGTATGATTACCATATATGCAATGTAGCATATGCAGTTATTAACTTTTCCTTACTACAGTGCACAAACCCTATTTCTTTCAGTAGGGAAATGTGAGAAAATGTGATGGATGTGTGATACTTTGAAAATATCTCATTGCATTTTCCTTCAATAGTTGAAAAAGTAAAAAAAAAAAAAAAAAAAAATTGGTCTCCTCCCTTTTCTTCAATAAATATGTGCATCTGAGTTTGGAGGACAACGGCTGTGGGAATATTTTGATG